GATTCTAAATTTCATCATATACTTTCTGGTAACTACAACATTGACATTTCCTGAGTCTGTTCCTTAAATTTATTTTTTTTGCAGTTATTTTTTGGCTGGGGCTGGGTTTGAACCAGCCACCTCCAGCATATGGGGCCAGCGCCCTACTCCTTTGACCCACAGGTGCCGCCCTAATTTTTTTTTTTAAGAGTTGAAGTCTTGCTATATTGCCCAGGCCAGTCTCAAACTCCTAGCCTCAAGGGATTTTGCTACCTTAGCCTTCCAAATCGTTGGGACTACAGGAATGAGCCACTGCACCTGACCCTTAATTGCTTTTTTTTTTTTTTTGAGACAGTTTTACTTTGTCACCCTTGTGCTATGGAGTCATAGCTCATAGCAACCTCAAACTCTTGGAGCTCAAGTGATTCTCTTGCCTCAGTCTCCCAAGTAGCTGTGACTATAGGCACCTCCCACAACACCCGGCTAGTTTTTCTATTTTTAGTAGAGATGGGTTCTCATTATTGCTCAGGCTGCTCTCACTCCTCAGCTCAGGCAGTCTACCCGCCTCAGCCTCCCAGAGTCCTAGGATTACATCATTCACTCTTATTGGTACAATTACTACTCCTTCAATTAAGTCTAAACTGAATTAAGTATGTCACTATTACCCCTAAATTTCCTATCTTGATGGTATATTGTCTACCCAACATTCCAAAAAGAAAGAAGCCACCTTAGAGTTTTCCTCATTCCTTCTCTCTCAACTACTTGGTCATTCAGTCAATCCTATCATATTTAACTCCTAAATACTCCTAAACACTACTGAGGCAAGTACTAACTAAGATCAGGTTCTCCTCTCTAACCAGGACTGTTATCACTAATTGATTTCCCTGCTATCAATATTATCATGCTCTAATTTACCATACATCATTTATTTTCCTTTATAAAAACCACATCTAGCCAGGTGTGGTAGCTCATGTCTGGGAAGCCAAGGTGAGAGGACTGTTTCAGGTCAGGAATTTCAGACTAACCTAGGCAAAATAGCGAGACCCTGTGTCTACCAAATATAAAATAAAATAAAATAAATTAGCAGGGTATGGTAGCACATGGCTGCTTGGAGGATATGAGGCAAGAGAATTGTTTGAGATGAGCAGTTCAAGGCTGAGTTATGATGACACAACTACATTCTGCCCTGTCTTTGAAACAAAAAACAACAACCCCCCCATCATATTCTATTTTAAAATGCAAACTTCCAGCATTGGGGTTGCTTGAGCTCAGGAGTTAAAAACCCACCTGACTAAAAGCAAGACCCTGTCTCTACTAAAAACAGGAAATATTAGTTGGGTATTTTGCTGCGTGCCTGTAGTCCACCAGTTACTTGGAAGGCTGGGACAGGAGGATTGCTTGAGTCCAGGAGTTTGAGGTTGCTGTGGGCTAGGCTGATACCACTGCACTGTAGCCTGGACAACAGAGTGAGACTCTTTCAAAAAAAGAGGCAACTTCCTAGCCTGGCTTAAGAGACCTTATCCAATCTAGCCCCAGACTTCTCCAGTCTTACTTCCCAATCTCTCACCTTAAAGTTCAAACACCATGACCTTACTTTTCCTTGACCTTGCCATAAACATATCACAGTACATCTGCTGATGCTTTTCCCAACCTAGAAGTCCCTTTTTTTCTCCTTACTGGCAATAAATAAATAAACAATCTTTAAGACACTATCCAATTATCACCTTTTAAAAGCTTTACTTGCATCTCCAAGTAATTAGCCCCACTTTCTCCAGTGTTCCCAACTGCCCTTTTAACGTATATCCATTATTTCACTTGTCACACTTTTTATTGAAAAATTTGTTTCCCGTTATATTGTGAGCATCTTGAGGACAGGGGCTGTGTCTTACTCATATTTTAGAATCAACAGTACCTGCCCTTATGTTTGAGCAAGACCTCAATAAATATTTGTTGAATAAATGACTCCTGACTCTAATAGAAGAGCATAAACATAACACCAAATTTTCACATGATGGGAAATGGATCTTTACTGCACGAAGATTAGTGTTCCAACTTATCATGTGACATTGGTCGCTCCCCCTACCCCCCATTGAGAAGCCATTTCAGGGGAAGAATTGGGTGGAGGAGATTCAAAGAGGTCTTTGCCAGAGCTCCAAATAGCAGTGGGTGATACCTATTCTGAACGGCTTTGTCGAGGGGGGATCTATCCAGAGGCTGAAGACCCTGAAGAATGGGGGCTGGAAGACCTTCCCGGCTAAGCATACTAGTCCTTCAAGACACATTTCTCAACCCCACCACGCAGCCTCTCTCTCCTCTACATCCAACAGTGAGGCCTCGCTTCTGCTGCCCCGCCCCCTCTTTCTTCACACCCTCCGATATTTCATCCCCCGGAAACCCTTTACAATTGGGACCTTCTTATCACTGGGACTTCAGGCTACAAATCCTCTCGGCCCCGATTCCCCCACCACTCTACAGCCCCGACCCCCTCCTCCAGCCTGCTCTTACTGTCCAGATAATGTTCCAAATACATCCCCGCAGCCATCTTGAAGCAAAACAAAGCAACTTCCGATCCGCCCCGGAAGTGAATGATATGTGATAGGTGGTGAAGTTACTTTTTGGGTTAAAGCTTTTCCGCCCATAAAAAGGAAACTTCCGCCCTTAATAAATTACCCGCCAGGGCACATCCGCCCGACCCTGAATCTTTTCCTTTTGCTAGGTAGCCACGACCTCCCGTAGCGAGGCGGCTGTAGCCCGCTTCCGCCCCTACAGAGACCCCAGAACGCTACTGAGGCAAGTATTACGTCACTGGGGTCGCCATTTTGCATTCTCTAGCAAACTTTTTTCCCTCCAAATCGGGAATGTGTGGTGGTGGTGGTGGTGGTGGTGTGGGGCACAAATGTTTTCTTCAACCTTTTCCCTCTTTTGCAGAACATGAAGCTGATGACTAGAGCAGGTCCCAGCGGAAGCAGGACTTTGAGGCAGTTAGTTTCTTAAGGAAGTTGGGGAAGAGGGGGGGAATATCGGACCACGAGCGATTTAAACCCTCAGCATTTCTGTTCACCCACTTAAACACCATTTCCCCAACAATATTTTTGGCCTGAGAGATTTATAAACTTCTTACAAATACGAAGAATTACGGAGAAGCTATGATTTCGTACAGCTTTTATCACGGCTTGTCCTTTACACAAAAATACACTTTCACGTGTAAAAAAACATTATCTTGGGCCTTGCCCTCATTGCCACTAAGGGGGAAATTTCGTCTTTTTGTTCCTTTAATTTACACGTGATACTAATATCATGATTCTGAGGGAATAAAGGCACGGAACTGTATCGTAACTGGGCCAGTTAGATGATGCCAGACCTAACTAGTCATCAGTGAACTCTATGCTTGTCATCAGAATGTAAAACAAGGGCATGAGAGGCTGCCACCACACTAGGGCAATGGAACTCAAAGCCCATAACCTAATAGTGATGTAAGATAAGTACCTTGTTTTTTGTCACCCCTAATTCGACATCCTTCATAATTATCAATGGCACATGGCAAGTTTTTAATATGAAGACTTACTTTTTCAGCTACATAATTTAGACCAAATAGGTGAAGAAGTGCAAGGTCAAACCCCAGGTTTACAAGTGTGCAGGTGGCAAGACATAGCAAGATCTGGGAGACTCCACTCTAATTAAAAATTGTACGTAATTTGGGCTGGAAGCGGTGGCTCACACCTGTAATCCTAGCACTTGGAAGGCTAAGGTGGGTGGATAGCCTGAGGTCACAAGTTCAAGACCAGCTTGAGCCAGGGCAAGACCCTGTCTTTAAAAATAGTCGGGCCCTGTGGCTGGCCCCTGTAGTCCCTGACTCTTGGGAGGCTGAGGCAAGAGAATCGCTTAAGCCCAAGAAGTTGAGATTGCTGTGAGCTATTACGCCACGGCATGGCACTCACCAAGGGTGACAAAGTGAGACTCTGTCTCAAAAAAAAAAAAAATTTGTACATACTTTATAATTGGGTAACTTAAATCTCTGTTCCTGTTTCCTCATAAGGTTATTGCAATGAGTGTGAACCTATCCTTAGAAAGAATGGATTCTGGTTCTAATACTGGTAATGAAGTTAGAGCCATCCGGGCCTTTTCAGCAGTTGGTTAGAGTGGGAGAAAAACAATAAGTATTTAGGAAGCCAACAAACATTGGCATAGTCATATATGATAATCATTACTGTCATACTACATATCAAGACACAATCTCAGATGCCTACACAAGATATTCAGGCCTAAATTAAACGGGCATTATTTAACTATCCACACCTAACCATAGTACATATATTGCCTATAAGCACTCTTGGGCAGCAGTTCTGAGAACCACCAGTTCTCAGATGTTGGAGCTTGTTCACATTTCCAGTGCTTAAAGCAAGGTTTTTAATTCTCAAAAAGGCATCCTGGAAGTTTAGTCCAATTCCTTCATTTAACAGTGGAAGAAGCACCATGGACAAGGGTAGAGCTGGAGCTGAAGTCCACATTTCCTGATCACATTCTGCTCCTCTTCTATTATACCTGTCCTGCATCATCAATCAATTCTGCATCCCTTAAGTGATCATGGTTTCCACCACTGGAAACCTGATTTTAGGTGCCACAGGATAATGAACATATGTTTGTATGCATACACACTGCCAATGAGTTAGGCACAGGGTCTTTTCACTGATGTTCAGGAAGGAGTGTAGTTCAAGAGGCCATGCTTCCTTTTCTATCAGAAGCTTAGTTTTTAACATGTAACCAAAAGCTTGTTCTCACATATTTAGGCAATGCCAAGTCCCATGACAATTTATTTGTAGAAATCCTCGTAAAGCAGGATTTCACTTAAAAGAGAGAATGAAATTGCACCCCTCCTATGGCTAGGGAGTAACACATGAAGCTTAATCACACAATCACTCATTTGTCACACACACTATGGTGTAAATCCTTAGTACTGACCTTGAACATCTCCCCAGATAGTTTTTCCCCATGCTCACATCAGTTAGCTCCACTGCCTCTGATCCTTTTACATGAATTTATTTCTATACAATGTTCTAAAAACACCCCTTGGTTTGTACATAAGTTTTTTTTCTTCATTTTAAAATTGCTATATAACAACTGGTTTCCTGATTTTTTAAAATTTCCTTTTCTCTGAAATCTGCCATGATTTAAAAAAAAAAAAAAGGCAAAAAGAAATAAAAATGCCGTGGCCAGAGGACAGGGTGGAGAAAAAGACAAAAATAAAATAAACATCAAATATGAAAATTCTCAGAGATAATGCATTTATAAACACAAAAATGGTTACAACAAAGATGGCCGTGATGAGTGGGTGTGTATATATATATTTATATATATATTTATATATAAATCCATGTCCGGCATCTGACCGTGGCACCTGGAGAGCTAAGTCCAGTCTTGGTGTTTGCCCTGAACTCTCCCTTTTCTGCCACACCCCTTATTTTGGGGTTTCATAGAGAACGCAAAGCTCTCATAGCTCCTTGGGGGTTGGGTTAGGGAGGCTGAGTGTGCAGGGTCTTGGCTGGCAGAGAAGGGGGGAGAGGCTCCAAGGAAAACCATAACCCACACTTCTAAGCCACTCTGACCTTGGGAATCTCTGGCCCCTTAGGGACCACATGTCAGCCCTTGCCCCCTTACAAATAAAAGGAGGTCTAATTCCTACCCAAATCTTTTACCAGCAATAGGCAGGAAGTGAATTGAGACCAAGTAGAAGAAAATGGCTCTCAGGGATTGGGGCACATAAGAAACCTCTGTTCTTTTGCAGGCAAGAATAGAACAGGAGGCTTAGTTGCATTTAGGGCCCCCTTTCCTTGTAATCTGGGAGGGCCAGCCTCTAGTCTTTGATCAGGGCAACCTTTGAGGATGAGGATAAAGATAGGGTAAGTGTCCATACAGGACAAATTTCTATGAGGTCATAGCAAATCCTTCCCTTGAGCACCAACCCCCAATGTAAAAAGCTTTGCTTGGGAGGGGAGGCTGCTAAATGACACCATCAGCTCAGTATTCCTTTGCCAATCAGGAGGGCTGATGTTCCTTTTGAAGAGGAGTTGAGAATAAAGATGGTATCTTGTGAAGGAAAGCCATGCCTAAAGCCCAAGGAAATAGGGCCAAGGCTTATCAAGGAAGAGGAGTTTTCCCACCAAGAGTTGGAGAAAGGAGGGACCAAAACTTCTTTCTCCTCTTCCCAGTGGGTGGCAGCACGGATCTCTAAGAGCTGGCCAGGTGCTCCACCTGGATGGTGCTGGTGGTGACAGTGAGGCAGATGTCCTTATGATGCTCCGCCGTCTTATAGGGGGTCAGGTCAAAAGAACACTGGGGTGGAGGGTTGGGGTTGCTGTCCCCACCACCCCCACCCTGGGGGGCTGCCCCAGGAGACTGGAAGTGTGGTGGCTGCTGCTGCTGCTGCTGCTGCTGTTGCTGCTGCTGCTGCTGCTGTGATGCCTGGGAGGCCTGGGCCTGGGCCTGAGCCTGAGCTTGCGCCTGGGCCTGGGCCACTGCTGCTGCTGCTGCTGCTGCCTGCACTTGTTGTTGGAGATCAGGAGGGTTGTGTTTGCGCATGTGTTTCATAAGGTACGTTTCCTGAGGGAAATGGTAAAAAGAAGTTGAGGGATGAAAGGGAAGGAAAAGATCATTTATAATTAGCATCCTGGGCTCTAACTCTGCTATAAGGACGGAAATGTTTATACAGATATAAAACCTGAAGCCAGAGTAAGCATATCTTAAGTAGGACTTTCAGTACCCACTACTGAGTAGAAAGGAGAGGGGAACCTTTAGAAGTCATTGTGGGCTGAGCCCACAGTGGTTACGGCCCCAGGCACATACACTGAGGCTGGCGGGTTGAAACCCAGCCTGGGCCAGCTAACACAACTATGACAACTGCAACCAAAAATATGGCCAGGCATTATGGCAGGCACCTATAGTCCCAGCTACTTGGGAGGCTGAGGGAAGAGAATTGCTT